TTAAGGCACACATATTTTAATCTGTTGATTTCTGGTATTTCTCATGTGTCTGCCGCTCTCACCTGCTCCTCCTGTAATTCTCTCTCCATCTTCATCAGTTCGTTCTCGATCAGTCTCTCGTGAGTCTCTCTCAGAGTCATTCTGCGCTCCAGGAGTTTCTCATGATCCGCCTGAGAGACAAACACATCTTATTGCTTATTTATGAGGTCAATAATATATTGCGTGCCCATTGATACAGTTCCCAACAGGTGCATGAATTTTATAACAACTGCTTTTCCAACATTGGAAAAGTTGCCAGCTGGTCCACTCACAGCAGTCTGTACAAAAAGTAGTCTTCTAGATAAAAATAATGTGAATAAACGTCAATAAAATTTTAAATATATTTTAAATGGTTTCAGGAGAACACCAAGACCACTTATAAGGGCGTGTCTATTCGCACTGAATGTATCTGATTGGTCGAATAGTGCACTGTCTCATGAAATGAATACCTTGTTCAATGCATGGATCGTAGAGCGCAAACTGTTTTAGGAAGACCCTTAGTGTTGTATAATACCAGCACTGGGCTGTTTATGTTGGTGAAGGTTATGTGATTCACCTGGCACCACCCTGTGAGTATTTTACATGCATGCCTCAAATGATATTGAGCCTAACTTGCATTGAATCTGAAACATTCCATTTAAAGGCACATTATGTAAGATTTTTTTTATTAAAATATCCAAAAACCACTAGAACAGTATTATATATTTTGCTGACTTGTGTACTTACATTATCCCAAATGTTTCAAAGAATGTTTAAATCCAGAGAAATAAGCAATCTTAACTAGTGACACGGACCGTGTCCATAGTGTCATTGTGTCGCCTGCCAATGACGTCATAACCCCTCGATTTCTGGTTGTATTTTGTAGAAAACATGGAAACACCAAAGACGCTTTAATACAGGTGCATCTCAATAAATTAGAATGTCGTGGAAAAGTTAATTTATTTCAGTAATTCAACTCAAATTGTGAAACTCGTGTATTAAATAAATTCAGTGCACACAGACTGAAGTAGTTTAAGTCTTTGGTTCTTTTAATTGTGATGATTTTGGCTCACATTTAACAAAAACCCACCAATTCACTATCTCAACAAATTAGAATATGGTGACATGCCAATCAGCTAATCAACTCAAAACACCTGCAAAGGTTTCCTGAGCCTTCAAAATGGTCTCTCAGTTTGGTTCACTAGGCTACACAATCATGGGAAAGACTGCTGATCTGACAGTTGTCCAGAAGACAATCATTGACACCCTTCACAAGGAGGGTAAGCCACAAACATTAATTGCCAAAGAAGCTGGCTGTTCATAATATAGAATCAAAATGAGGCCATTTTCTAAAAAGAGATTTGAAAGTACTGTTGCATTAATATTATGTTGCATAAATATTTAACAGAAAAAAACATGAACACACTTCTTTCTGTCCGTGTCCGTCACAGAGCACGCAGACGGCCTGTGTCACTGTCTGACTGACGTGTGTCCAGTGCTGAAGCCTCAGACTCAAGGCCTGGCACGGGACGCCTGGGAGATCCCACGGGACTCTCTGAGACTGGACGTCAAGCTGGGCCAGGGCTGCTTCGGAGAGGTCTGGATGGGTAAGACTTCCTCTTTCAACTTCTTTCCACTGAAAACCGAAGCTATGTGAGATAAATATGAACAAAATACCACAGCTGTGTAATGATGACAGCAAAGCGTTCACATAACAGACAATGATTTCAGTGTCTTTTTCCCATCAGGCACTTGGAACGGCACGACACGCGTGGCCATCAAGACTCTGAAGCCTGGCACTATGTCTCCTGAGGCCTTCCTGCAGGAAGCACAGGTGATGAAGAAACTCCGGCACGAGAAGCTGGTGCAGCTTTACGCTGTCGTCTCAGAGGAGCCCATTTACATCGTCACTGAGTACATGGGACAAGGTCAGTACAGAGATCCAGTGAACCATACTGGGCTAAAGATGTCCAAGAAACAAGAACTGGCAGTAAGATGTGTAAATAGAGCATTCAAATCTGGATATTATCAGCTTTTCTTGTGAGGTCTGCCAGTAAAAGTGTGAATGGAGATGTGAGGTGTGATTTCTGCTCTCACAGGAAGTCTGTTGGATTTCCTGAAGGGTGACATGGGGAAAATGCTGCGGTTGCCTCAGCTTGTGGATATGGCCTCTCAGGTACTTTCACACTGGCATTATGATATGGTATCTAGTAATGAAACTGCAAAGAAAAATAAACCAGTTTTGATACTTAAATAAAAAGTAATGGGTATTGGAAACATTATATTAGAAAATTTACATTACTGATCAACAGTTTGGGGGCGGTATGATTTAAAAAAAAATGTTTTTGAAAGACATCTCATGCTCACCAAGGCGGCATTTATTTGATAAAAAATACAGTAAAAAAAACTGTAATATTATTGCAATTTAAAATAACTGTTTTCTATTTGAATACATGTTAAAATTATCAATGTTGAAAACAGTTGTGCTGCTTAATATTTTTGTGGAAAACATACTTTAAATATATTATTATTTGTTGATTTTTTTCCAGGATTCTTTGTTGACTAAAAAGTCCAAAAGATCCAAAAGAACAGCATTTATTTGAAATAGAAGTTTTGTAACATTACAGAAGACATCACTGTCACCTTTGACCAATTTAATGCATCCTTGGTGATTAAAAGTATTCATACCTTGATGCATTTTCTTCATGACTCTTTGATGAATAGAAAGTTCAAAATAACGGCCTTTATAATTGAATTAGTGCTGGCAAACGATTAATCGCGATTAATCGCATCCAAAATAAAATGTTTACATACTATGTGTACTGTGTTTATTTATTATGTATATATAAATACACACACATACAGTATATATTTTGAAAATATTTACATGTACATACATTTATATATTTATATTATTATATTTTATATTATATATACATTTAATATATAAACATAGCATATTTTTCTTAAATATATATATGCATGTGTTTGTATTTATATATATACATAATAAATATACACAGTACATGCTCATATTATATTACGTAAACAAAAACTTTTATTTTGGACTCAAAGTCAGAATTTTTTAGACTGACTAAAATAAAACAAAACTAAAAAAAACTATATAGCCCTGCATTGAAGGAGGAACTATATTTAGAGAGTTGAATATTGCAGAGAGCATCACTAAAAACAGCACTGTGGCAGCAGTTTTTGCATGTCCACGTGCCACTGTCATTGTCTTCATAATGTATATAAATCTGTTTCTATTCTGTGGATACTCTGGAGCCCGGCGGTGTTATAATATATGTGCTGTCCTCAGATCGCCTCTGGAATGGCGTACGTGGAAAGAATGAACTATGTGCACAGGGACCTCAGGGCTGCCAACATCCTGGTGGGTGATAACCTGGTGTGTAAAGTGGCTGACTTTGGCCTCGCTCGACTCATAGAGGACAATGAATACACGGCCAGACAGGGTAAGCAGGAACACAGTGACTCTCTCTGCCTGCATGTGGTCGTTCTCCATTTTCTTTACATCTTGAGTTGTTTCCTGAGGCCGTAACGTCTCGGTCTCATTTTCAAGACCTAATGCTGTTGCCATTTATGTGGTTCGACCTTAATTGAATCAGTTTAATCATGATGACAGGCCTCTCTTAAATCATTATTACAACAGGAGCCAAGTTTCCCATCAAGTGGACTGCGCCAGAGGCTGCGCTTTACGGCCGCTTCACCATCAAATCTGACGTGTGGTCGTTTGGGGTCTTACTGACGGAGCTGACGACCAAAGGCAGGGTGCCTTATCCAGGTACTACTGCTCTACATGTTTACCAGTCAATCGAGTATTAATCAAAGAGTCACTGGTTCACCTTCACATTCAAATGTACTTTATATATATCACACACACACATATATATATATATGTATTAGTGCTGTCAAACAATTAATCGCGATTAATCGCATCCAAAATAAAAGTTTTTGTTCACATAATATATGAGCGTGTACTGTGTATATTTATTATGTATATATAAATACACACACATGCATGCATATATTTAAGAAAAAGATGCTATGTTTATAGAATATTATTATTATTATTATTTTCACTGAAAATGTATTAACAATTATTTAATAGAATAAATTATTCTATAACTTATGCAACAATAATATTTATATATGTATATTTGTGTATATGTGTGTATCCTCAAAAAAACATTTTTTATTTACCAATAATAATAATGAATTAATGTATTCCATATTTTTTAAAAGAATGATCAATTCCATTCTAAAAAAGATGGAATAAATGAATTAATTATAATTATTTTTAAAAATTCACTCACAGGACATAATAATTTAAAAATATATATAAATTATTATTATTCACATTGAGTCCAATGCAAGGTTTTTATCTCTTAAAAAAAAAAAAATACTTATAAACTTACAAAAACATTACATTCAAATAATTTTCACCTATAATTATTCACACTAAATCCAACACATTGAGTTTAGACATTTCTATTGTTAAAAAAAGAAGAAAAAAAAAAGATTTTTGGGGATATTTTTTTCACAGGCCATAATGTAATACATTTTTAAAAATATTAATTATTATTATTATTTCCAAATGATTCACATTAACTCCAATGCATGGTTTTCATCTCTACAAATGTTTTTTAAATGTTTTTAGGGTGTTTTTAAAAAAAAAATTTATAACACACAAGTCACATTGCCGTATTAAACAACATTTTAAAGAGCCCCCCTCCACAAAGGGCACATGAATACATTTCCGGTTGTTCCTCCCTGCTGACAACCCACATCCTCTGCCTGGTTAAAATGTGCCATGCCACTTTCTGCACCACAATCTGACACCTGACCCACATCCACCCTGTTTCACGTCTGTCCTCCGCTCAGGTATGGTGAACCGGGAGGTGCTGGACCAGGTGGAGCGCGGCTACAGGATGCCCTGTCCCGCCGAGTGCCCCGAATCCCTGCATGAGCTGATGCTGACCTGCTGGCGCAAGGAGCCCGAAGAGCGGCCCACCTTTGAATACCTCCAGAGCTTCCTGGAAGACTACTTCACCTCTACTGAACCACAGTACCAGCCGGGCGAGAACCTCTAGAGATGCAGATCCAGTCAAGTGTGAGAGCAGCGAAAAGGATATCATTTCCCTGACCGGGAAAACGAACGCGGGATGTTTGTGGCATAACCCAACCAATACTGATCCACACGTGACGACAACGTCGCATCCAGCTAAATCAGCCCATTTAAAGAAACTTACTGGGTTTTCACATGGTCTCAAGTGTTACAGCATTATAATCGCATGTTTCTCCACTTTCATCGCAGATGAGCTGCAAACAGCAAGACAAGATGCATCTTTTCTGCATCATTCGCAAAGAAATCCACTAACAAATTGCTTCTTCGGCCGTGCAGCTTGCTGTTTCTGCTGATAATTGCTGCGAAGCTTTATTTCCGAAGCTCTGCGAATTGATCGCAAGCCGTTTTTCTTGACCTCGATGTACCACCACTTCTCTCCTAAACCCTTTTAGCGGATGCTCCAGATCTGTCATTCATCCTCCTCCCACAATCCCTCACTTCTATCCTCTCCCATCCCCCTTCAAACCCCCAAAGCATCAAGCTCCGTCAGCTCCGGTGTTTGTCATGAACCCTGCGACCCGTTCACAAGCTCAGATGGATGAGATTTGATCAGCAACATCAGATGTCAGCACCTCTGTGCATGTTGGGAGACATCTGTGATTGCAGCTCTCTCGTGACGAACGGACGTTCCCGTTAATGTCTTCCAATAGATATCCAGGGTCTGTATCCGAGTGCCCAGAATCCCTGCATGAGCTGATGCTGACCTGCTGGCGCAAGGAGCCCGAAGAGCGGCCCACCTTTGAATACCTCCAGAGCTTCCTGGAAGACTACTTCACCTCTACTGAACCACAGTACCAACCGGGCGAGAACCTCTAGAGATGCCGATCCAGTCAAGTGTGAGAAAGAGAAAGAGCGATCCTTTTCCTGACCAGAAAACAAACACCGGACGGAAGTTTGTGGCATAACCCAAACAATACTGATCCACATGGAATGATATCCAATTCAGCCCGTTTTAAGCAACTTGCTGGGTTTTCAAATGGTCTCAGTGTTACAGCATCGCCCTCTGTTATTGTAATCGCATGTTTTTCCACTTTCATCGCAGGTGAGCTTCAAACAGCAAGACAAGATGCATCTTTTCTGCATCATTCGCAAAGAAATCCACTAACAAATTGCTTCTTCGGCCGTGCAGCTTGCTGTTTCTGCTGATAATTGCTGCGAAGCTTTATTTCCGAAGCTCTGCGAATTGATCGCAAGCCGTTTTTCTTGACCTCGATGTACCACCACTTCTCTCCTAAACCCTTTTAGCGGATGCTCCAGATCTGTCATTCATCCTCCTCCCACAATGCCTCACTTCTATCCTCTCCCATCCCCCTTCAAACCCCCAAAGCATCAAGCTCCGTCAGCTCCGGTGTTTGTCATGAACCCTGCGACCCGTTCACAAGCTCAGATGGATGAGATTTGATCAGCAACATCAGATGTCAGCACCTCTGTGCATGTTGGGAGACATCTGTGATTGCAGCTCTCTCGTGACGAACGGACGTTCCCGTTAATGTCTTCCAATAGATATCCAGGGTCTGTATCTGAACGTGGTATTTTATGCCTTTTAATGGTAGAAATGAGCTTTTTGTCCCACTATGTTTCTTTTGTATGAACCTGGATCAACTGGAATAAGAATGTGATTGGTTGAGCACTGGTCACATGATTGGAAACGTTCGGACTGAAATGATGGAAACAAAACATTTTTCCTTTTGATATGAACTCAGTTAGAGAATCGTTCAGAATGTGGTTTCATTTGATACAGTTATTCTACTCTTCTAGTATTCAAAACAACTACTGATATATAGCATTGTTTTTTGTTTAAAGCAGATGTGACTGTATAGTCCTACTTTGTGTGCCAATACAAAGGGAAAAAATGAATTTTGTACTGTTTTATTATGTATAAAATGTATTTTTATTAATGTTGTTTTTTTTTGTATCAAAGAGGATGGAGCAGGCTTTGTAACTAGAATTTAAAGGAATAGTTCACTGAAACATTTTCTAACCCTCATGTTGTGTAAAACACAAACGGAGACGTTTAGCTGAATGTCCATGCTGCTCTTTTCCATATACAATACTTTTACATTTATTGCATGAGAAAAGCGTCCTCTAAATGTCTCTTTTTGTATCCCATGCCAAAAATAACAGCATAAATGTTTGGAACGGCATGAGGGTGAGTGAATTGTGACTC